ACACCACTTGTGTGTTCCAGTGATCACAACAGTATCCACAGAGCATGGATTTCTGTTCACAAATAATTATAAAAAACCTACTCTTTCATAATTGCCCAGAAAGCAAGCTGGAGCTCATTAGAGCTGCATGCTTTATGGGAGTTTTATAAGTGGCAAGTACAAGATACCTAGTAAAATTTTAACAACATTGAGTCATATGTTTTCTGAAAAATATATTGAATTGACCACTTTTGGTGCTGGGATTAGGCTGTAATACAGAAAGCTGACAGTTTTAAGAAAATTCAGGAGTGAAAATACGAAACAGCTTAATACAGACTAATAGAAGAAGAAAAAGGAAAAAAAAGGCTCTCTTACATGCTGGTGGCAGGCCAACACCAATATTTAGAAATTAAATCCTAAATCTGATTTGGGGACTAGCAGCAGCTTGTGATAAGTGCTGAAGGGGGCAAGGGGCAGCTTTGAGGTCTCTGCAGGTCTTGGCTCTCCGTGAGGTTTGCAGGTGCCCTCCTTGCTGGCAGCACCCCAGTGGCAGTGCCAGCTGAGCACGGAGCTTGCAGAGGGCTGCTCTGCCCTCTTCACCCCAAACCTCCTGGCAGATTGGACAATAAAAAAATGATGCCTGTGGAAGGATTAAAATGTCTGTTGATGCCCAGTTTGGCCACGCAGCTACAGCCCCTTTCAAAGCAGAAGCCCTGCTGTATTGGTTCTACCACTCCTTAGGCCTTGCATGCACTCAGCTCCCACAGGCTCCCCTTCATTTGAGGAGAATGAGGATTTTAGGTCTTGCAAAACCAACTAGGAAAAAAATTTAGAGCACCCCTAAAATGTACCATGAGCCCATCTACAGCTGGTTGATGGGTGCAAGTACTGAGAAGGAAGCTAACTCCTTCCATGGGAGGCACAGGCTATAGCAGGCACAAGGCTATAAAGGCTGAGGGCATGTCACTCCAGTGCAGGAGGAAGGACAGTGCCTCTGAGGGCCTGGCACACCTGCCTGCTGTCAGGCCTTGGCTGCGAGGTTCCCTGAATCCCCATCACGCGTTCTCTTTCACTTTCACTGCTAATTGGCACTTTTTACCCATTTTTGCCTGTGGAGTGTGTTAATACAGGATAAGGTTATTATCAAATTAATTAGGAGCTCCCTCCAATTATTCCTGCTGTGCCTGCCGGGCTCTCCCCACTCCCTGTGATGGGCTGATTGGCCACTATAAACTCTTCGGCTTTGAACGACTGGCGGTGCCACGGGCTCATCGAGGCTCTGCCTCACTGGCGGTGCCAGCTCTGCCGCTGCCAGGTTGTCTCCCTGGTGCCAGTGAAGCACCCAGGACCCAGCCTGACTGGAGTTCAGACACTGCTCCAAGAGGTGAGGGCAGCAGCCCCTACTTGGTCCCAGCGACCTCAGGGATGGCTCCAGCCAGTGAGCGACACTTCTCCTTGCACAGGTAATCACGGGACTTCAGGGTGATCCTGCACCCTGGCAGGCCCAGGGGGGTTTGGGCAGCATTTTTAGCTGGGGGATGCGGGAGGGCATAGCAGGGGACGACTGGAGTGGAGAGGTCTATCCCAGCACCAGCCTCCTATCCAGGATGAAGCTGCAGTACCTGGTGTCAGAAACAGCTGAGGCTCTCAGGCAGGGGAGAGGGATTTATACACTGCATCTTGCAACATACAAAACCACAAAAGCAGCTGATGCCAACCAGCGTGTGGACATTTGCTTAATTGAGAAATAAGCACATAGTTGTGGGTCAGTGACTGTACAGCTGATTGGCTGAGGCTATTTTATTTTGGAATAATTTACAGTTGTTAAATGGATTTGGAAAAGCCTTAATAGTGGTTATTAAACTATTGACTTAGCCTGACGTGTTTAGTGTAGTAATCCATGTTTGTGTTTGTCGCCATGATGAGGCTGCCGGAGCTGGGAAAGGTGCTGGAGCATTGTCAGCCCCAGGCAAGAGCTGCAGGGCTGCAGGGGCAGGCAGGCAGGACTCCTCCTGTGCGGACATCAGCAAAGCTCTTCGGATTTTATCTGGGTCAGGAGCAATGCTTCGCTTCCCCATAGTTACAAATTCATCATGTGCATCTCCATCATCATCTATTGAACCTAATCTAATGTCAAAACACTCTCCTGTACAAAGAGTGGCTTTTTTGCACCTGTGCAGAATCAGACTCGTTTTTAACTCATCTGTGCAATAAATAACTTCAAGTGCAGCACTTGTTGAGTGCCCTTCTGGCCAGCAGTTCAAACTGTTCACATTCATTTATACCACAGCGCAGGACACATTAGCTAAGGACTACAGAGCACATGTTTTACGATGCATAGAAGAAATGCCTGCAAATGAACTAAATATCTCCTACTCATTGTGTCTCCTGTTCACAGGTGGTTTACAGAACAATTCGTATTTTTTTATTGTTTTCTTTTGTGCAATGGTTAAAAAGGCAGTGGACAGATACTTAAAAGACAAATCCTCTTTTTTTTTTGCTTTGTTTAACCCCTAAAATGTGCACAGTACTAAATGCTGGTCTTGCGTGAAATACCATTCTGTGGGCTGGCAGCTGTTTGTTAGTGTGGAAGCTTTGCTAGGAAGAGTGGACCTCTTGGGTATTTTACAACAAGATTTTTTCTCCAAAATGTCTGTTGATGACTGAACTCCAGTAAACGTCAACTAGGAAGAAGGAATGCTAAGCAGTCAGATTAAAAACAAAAAATAAATACAAAAATGTGTTTCCCCTCCAGACTTTGACTCCCCTGTCTCAGACAATATTATTGTTTCATTAGCTGTCCAGTTAGCCAGAAACCCTTCTGGGAGAGACAGGACCTACATTTCAAAAGGAAAACAAACAAATAAACAAACCATCCTGTAAAACCTCTCATCGGTCCCTGTGAATTTTCAAAGAAAAAAAAAATTTTAAGACTCCTTTAAATTACGATAAAAAGGCAGAGGAGGTCAGAGGCTCTAAGGGTACCTTTGGAGGTCACCTCGGAGGTGAGGGCTGCTGTGCTGCAGCTGATGGCTGCAATGTTTTTATTCCCCATCCTCTCTTAAGATCGTCACTTTGGAAACACACCTTGAGTGTGAATGACTTGCTGGACTGAAAAGGGATTTTGAGGTTGCAAGGGAGAAGAAAAACCCCACCTATTCAGTAACAATTACAGAAATGGTATGAGGCCTATTGGTGGGAGTACTGGTGTGAAGTGTGACCATCTTTCCAGTTTTGGCAAACCCTGACCTGCAATGGGAAATTCCCTGTTGTGGCCGATTTACAGCCTACACCAGACCAGCTGCCTGGCACACTTTGTTGGTATGCCAGCAATCACATTATTGCTTTTCCAACCATTTCACAGGCCTAAGGTTAGATGAAAAGAGTCCTTTTCTGGGAGCATTCCCAAGTTTTTGTGTGTGCTTAGCAATGCAGACTCAAGTAACAGCAGCGACAAAGCTCAGCACATCCCCATCTGTCTGTTGCACTCAAGCAGTTGCATCTCAATACGCCCTGGTGATGAGGGAGTTCACGTGCAATGTGCAGCCAGGTGAGAGCTGTTCTGTTTTACTCATTATTATAAATAATTATTATAAATTTTTATTTACTAATTATTTTTTAAACATATCTGGACATATTTTCTTCCTTTTACCTTTGTAGCAATGGTCATTAGTATTTCTTCTTTAAAAAGACCATGTTCCCATTTCAATTATGCTACAATTGTTTTTTATTCTTAGAGTTGAGAGGTATTTCTGTATTTTAGATATATAATGTATATACATACATGAATACACTCTGTGGATATATATACACTACTGCAAATGAGAGTTGCTACTTTCCTCACATACTTAGCTGGTCAGTAGTGAAGAACCACGTGACAGTCTTCTATCATGAAATTAAAAGCAACACAAAAATTTACAGGCTCCATGTATTTCAGAACTGTGTAATGTCATTATATTTACCTCCAAGTACTCTGTGAAGTATCCTGTGTGAGGCCACTAACCTAGATAGTTTATGTAAGACCGTGGAAATTCAATTCCAGAAATGAACCTTTGCATCTCTAGGAACAGCTGGAGAGGCTCAGGTCTACTCATCCTGCTCAGAATGGACACAAGGAATTTAGATTAGATGCAGATGGAGTGGGGATTTTGTTAATGACAAAAAGGGAGGCAAACATGTTGAGGCATAGCTGCCTGAATACAAATTCATAATATATGTGTACATATTTCTGACTTTAACTATGAACACCATAAATATGCTATCATGCAAGAGGCGAAGCATATGTAAACTTAACAATATCCCATTACCTCTCCAGCAAAGAATTTTCATAACTCATTCATATCCCATTGAATAAGCACAAAGATTCACTGCTGGCTGTTAATTATCCTCTACAAAGACCTGGTTATTGTGTTCAATTTTAGTAAAGGCGCAGTTGTTATTGCAGTGTACATAGGGAGAATGGTACCTGAGGGAGCAGGAGGAAATATGCTTGTGTAGAATTTTAACAAGGAAAGCTTGGTTGCACAGAAGGGATTCATTGGGTGGGATTTTGATATGTGCTTCAGGAAATTAACCATTCTCAAGACAAAAACCTTGCTGTGACTCTCTGAATACATGATATTACTCAGTATTTCAAAGACATCAGCCATGTAAAAATTACTTGCTGTTACTATTTTTAAGACTACTTTTATTGAATGGTAGCCTGTTTTTCTCTGAAGTTTATAACACTCCAGTCATATCAAGGAATGTGTATGCAAGAGCTCACAAGGCCCATACATCCCTCTGGGGTTTTTGAGGGGCACATGGAGGTCACCAGCCAAAGGCAGCAATCCATTTCCTCCACACCAGCATGGTGGAGGAACTGGGACAGGAGGGGTAAGGTCCTGGCAGGTCCCAGTGCAATGTCACAGTAGGAGAGTGCCAGCTGGAACCCCACTTTGTGCTGGATGTGATGTGGGGGTTACCAGGATTCAAAAGAATTCAGGAAGAGCTGGGAACAATGGTGAGTTATCCAGGGAGCTGTGTATCTTCTGCACTGACCTGTTGGAAGCACTGCAGCTGCTTGGCATTTTAGAAGGTTCAGAAAAGATCCACTGAAGGTGTTATTTTAATGGGCGAGTTCTTTCCCACATGCCCTGCACTATCTGAACGTCAGGCAGAAGGAGGCAAAGCCTTGTGACATTTAGGTTGCTAAAGTCATTGCTGTTGGTATGGGGCAGGTAGGAGGCTCTAGGCTCATGTAGGAGGACTAGCCTTGCTCAGAGGCATCACAGCAGCTGCAATGAACTCAGCCTCATTCCCTATTTCTTTTTCTCATTTCTACTCAATGCCTCTCTTCTCCTTGGTTGTGCAGGGACAAATACAGAGTTCACACAGTGGCTGTTTGTTTCAAATGTGCATGTTGAAAGGAGAGGAGAAAGCATGTATCTTTGGGTGGAAATACTGAGAACAACACAAAACAAAATAAATAAAGCTGAACAAAAGAGAATTAAAACTTCTATAAATACCAAGGACTGCTAGGGATGAAGGAAACAGAAAGAAGACATCATAGGTCAAGAAAGGGAAGCAAGAACTTTGTGGTGGGATATAAGAAACCACAAGGCATGACAGGATGATCCACTGTTGGTCTGGCTTACCGAGGCTGTGGCACAGCCCCACTGAGGTGCCATCCCTGCCAGGCCACTTGGATATGACTCTGGTAGTCCTGCCACTGCCTGCTTGACTGGGCTTCAACAGAATGGGACAATATCTTTTGTAGTCCCTAGTGGCTAATCCAGTATAGCAGCTAAGAAAGCAGCACCAGAAGGCACAGTTACTTAGGAGATACTTGGATCCTTGCCTTGAATTGCAAAGGAAATATCTCTGTAGGCTCCTCCCAGAATCCCAAACAGTCTAACAGTGAAATAGATTGATTATACCTTCTGCTCATCTGTTAGCACTGTGTTCAGCATTAAATCCTATCCAACCTTGGAGCCACTACTGGCTTTCTTTGCACCACTATAATGAGAAGACTAGTATTGGCTGATGCTCAGAAACTTCCAACTTAGAGCACCTAGAAACAGTTCATTAGTAAGAGTATAGAGAATGTGGTATGCTGTTTCATTCACTTCTTTTAACTTAATTGAGACCAAGACCAAGGTGGGAGACACCCCCTGCCAGGTGTCCAGCAGGAGCTGTAGAGTGTCTCTCCTATGATTAGACCTGATATTTAAACCTGATGTTTGCTGCTTAAACCATGTCTGTGAACAAGCAGGATCCCAATGCATTTCCACTATTTGCAGCTTGGGAAATGTTGCAAGACAATTTTGTCTGTAAGTCTTCTTGTTACCAGAATTATTTTTTGCATTTTGGCACATCGCTGGGTTAGAAGAGAAGACTGTAAATATTTTTATGTTTTAATAGTATTACTACAAACTGTATAGTATTCTAATAGCTGATTGTAAAGTTCTCGTTTATTTGGGAGCAACTTGTATCACATCTGCATAATTTTTAATGTTTAATATTAAAAACATCTTGAGAGGATTTTAAAGACTTTTTTTCCTCTATTGCTTTTTTGTGATGAGTCAGAAAATAGTTTTGATGCCCCTTCTGCCTCTGATTTTCTTGACCCCCAGCTGTTGTCCTGCAGCTGGAACAGACGCACACTGCACCTCCTGGGGTCTCACTGGTAGTATGAGGGAAAAATAGCCCTCAGCAAAATTCCATGGGAGGCATGCTGTGCTCCATGTGTAAAGCTGGTGGATCAAAGATCTAAACTAGGAGTATGTGGTGTTTTCTTTGAGTTCCTGCGGAGGGGTAAGATTTGCCTTAACTAGATTTACCTTCTAGGAATGCAATGTCAGTGTGGAAATACACTGGATCGTCCAGTTTCCTCAATGTTCAGATTGTATTTATCAGCCTTATAAGAAAAGGATACCAAAATCAATATCAAAATGTTGCAAGACAGAAGCAATCAGCTGGCCAGCACTTTAGGGATATATTTGTATTCATGTCTCAGAAGTGCAAGTGTGATCACGTTCAGGTGCTCAGGCAGAGCAACAGAGCGGGCAGACTGTCAGTGCTCTGACCCAAGGGGCAGGGACAGTTTGCTTTCTCTCCTCATGTCTGTTTTTTTCCCTGCATTCAACCAAGCAGCATGACCACCCAGTGCTGCAGCATCTAAGTGCTATTTTGCAACAGATGCACACAACCCAAAGCACAGGCTTTTCTGGTATATAAGTTGCATCTTCTTATTATGACTATCCCAATCTATTTCTAAGTGTGCTAATTCCAGTAAATGGCTGCCATTTTCTTATGGCTCATTTCATACCGTGGTTAAACACTACACAACAAATGAACAGTCCATTTGCTTGCGTAGTCTTTAGTTTTGGCCTGAATAGTGGCTTATATATGGTTAGTCTTTATGTATGAGGTAAAGAAACACCAAGGCAAATGCTGACAAAGTCTAAAAGCTGTTGAGATGACCTGGGATCTCTGAATGTTCAAGCAGATGTGCATCAGCAGTATTTGCAGCAGTATTTGTGATCTTGCTTTTCACACTTTGTGTTGCAGCAGCAGAGGGAATTTGCTCAAGGTCATTGTTTCCTGGCGAATGTTGTGCCTTAATGGCATTCAGGGCAGCACTGGTGGGAAGGAGCAAATGAGCCCAGCTGGGACCACCAGCTCTGAGGGTTTTGGGCCCCCACAGCAAAGCCTGGATCAGCTCAAAACACCTGTCAAGGACATACCTGAAGAGAGAGAAGTTTAAGCAGTGCTGGCAGACAAGGTAGGTGGCTGCAACTTCGAGCTGGTTTGGACTACATAACAGAGCTCACTCGGGACTTTGGCATGGAAGCAAATGCGTGTCAAATGCACAGGTGATGGATGGAGCGAGCAATCTCACAAGATATATGAGAAAAACACAGAGATGAGATCAGCCACAGAGGAAGCAGACCAGGGACTGGGCAAAAGTGGAAAAGAAACAGAGGGAGGGAGAGTTATTCCTCCTTTTTTAGAATCATTGAATTATTTAGATTGGAAAAGTTCTTTAAGATCAAGTCTAGCGTTAAACCCAGCACTGCCAAGTACACCACTAAACCATGTCCCTAAGGGTCACATCTACATGGCTTTTAAATCCCTCCAGGGATGGTGTCTCCACCACTTCCCTAGGCAGCCTGTTTCAATGCTTGATAACCCTTTCAGTGAAGAGATTTTTCCTAACATCTAACCTAAACCTCCCCTGGCACAACTTGAGGCTGTTTCCTCTTGCTCTGTTGCTTGTTACTTAGGGGTATGATCACTGCCCTAGTCTTGCTGGCCACAGTTTTTGGGACTAAAACGACTACCCAGTGTAAGGACTGAATCAGAAACACTTTTTTCTTCTTCGTGTGAAAGAATCTAGAATGTTTTTTAGATCAAGAATTGCCCCTAAAATGCAAGACTGCTTCCTTGGAAGGAAAAAGCAAGCATATACAGCAAGAAAGGGATTAAAAAGTAGCAGGAAGGACTTTATCCTTCTCCTACTCATGCTTTACTTTTTCCTAGGAACTACCTTTCCTGATTATAGGATATGTTATGTAAACCATGCAAATTAGGCAGTTTTTTATATCATTATTTCACTTCAAACATAAAAATACATGTACTGCACTGCATTTTTTCTGGGCTTCTCAGGTGAGTGTGTGTGCCCAAGGCACACCTGTTGCTTTACCCATCGCTCTGCAGTGCTTGCGTTGCAGGAGCAGCCAGAGGGCAACAGGGCAGAAAGGCCAGGGGCCAAGGGAGCAGTGGGTGCCTGGGTCTGGAGCCCTGGTGGGAAAGGACCTGATAATATTGTTTTCTATCTGACTGAGACAAAAAGTTGAGACTGACCATTTCTGTGATGGCCAGATATGATGACAGTGGGAGCAGCAACTGTGAACCGCCAGTGCCTCTTTGCTTTGGTTACTTTTAATATCTTCCTGTTATTAACAGTGGTCCTGCTGAATGCCCCTTCCTATATGCAGACAGGCTGCTTGAACGCCGGCGTGCCCACGTGGTCTATCCCATAGCTGGCAGCATGTGTGTGTGGATACCTCTACTCCCCTGGGCAGTGTGGTTCTATCTCATACGCCTACCTGTGCGAGCAAAGTGAAGGCTTGTATGGCCACCAGGTCAGGCTGTGTGGGCATTTTGATTTAATCACGTCTCATATGGTATCCTTGTATTTTTCAGCTTTGCTTTTTCCATCAGTTTTATATACCTCATGTGGGGAAAGTAGTATCCTTTAAAGAATACATTCTATATTTGGTAGTGAGTGATTTGAGGCGCGAATGTGTCTGAAGGAGAAAGGCTTTTCAAGCAGCATGCTGCTGGCTCAAAGGTTCCTCCACAAATTCTGCTGGGCTCTGCCTCTGAGTTGTGCTGCCCTCTCACCAGCCTGATCCTTGAGGAATTAATTCGGGAACTGCTTGAGACTCTGCACGATATTCTTCAACGGTCCCTTTCTTCTCTGAAAGAAAAATACAGGGAAATGTCACAGAGAATTAACAACTTAGATGGGCAGATGGCAAGGCTTGAAAACTGTACAGAGATGATTGAGAGAAGTGTACTGTCCCACAAGGAAACAGCTACTAATACTGCACAGGTGGTGGGCTTGGAAAGATTAGTTTGGGGGTTTTATTAAGTGCAGCACAACCTTAAAAAAAAAAAAGGTGGAAAACCAGATCTAAGTTGTCTCCACCCAGTATCTTGGTAGTAGAACTAATTGACAAAATGTTGGGAATGGCTTCTATTAACATCCAGGCTGAAAAGCTCAAGTTGGCTCTAACACCATAGGGCTGTAAAGAGACACTTCCTACGCATCAGTGTGTGCAAAATGGTCCAAAGCAGAGAGCATGAGGCAGGCAGCAGCAGGATCTCTATGGGCTTTGCAGGATTCCCTGCTCAGGCATTGGGGCACCCAAGAGGACAGTGAGATACTGCTGAATTCAGAGCATCTCTCACCATTAATGCCTTGAGTTTTCTCATTCTGCATCACTACAGATGCACAGTACAGACAGAACCTGGGCTGGTACTGCTTGGGAGCTGTGTCCACAACTGGCCTGCTGCTTCCAGGGACACTAACTGATGCTGTGTGGCAGGAATTTGTAAATTGTGAAGGTATGGGGAAAATCTACAAAAGTAAGGAAAAATGTTTTCTGAAGAATGGAATAGAGCAGTAGTCAAATAATTAGGCTCTTATTCAAAAGAGAGGACAAGGAATAATGTTGATCCATTTTTCTTCTTTGAGGTAAAAAGATGGTGAAATAGAGGATGGACTGGGATTAAAAAAATGGGACTTTATTACTTGGTCCTGCCATGAGACTTCATGTGTAACCTCTGGCAAGGCTCTTGATGCTCTTGCACATCTCACTCATGTCCGTGAAATGGGGATAATCTCTTCCATGACCAAAAGAGATTTCATGAGGAGAACATCCTCAACAGATTGAGTCCTCAAGCAGGGAGGTAGAGCAGTATCAGAGGGAGTTCTCTGATTTCCTTCTAGTACAGGCACCACTGAGTTAGATAAGCAACAAGCCAGGATTTCAAACAGCTTTGGAGTTGAACAGTGTTGGTATCCAACAAAGAGCAAATGTTTTTTACTGGAGATAAGGATATTTTGTTTCTAACAGTGTAAACACAATAATATTTGTCTTCGTAGATTAGCTGCAGCAATGAAAATACTTTGCATACTCTCTAGTTGGGGGTTCTCAGACTCGGTTAATACATTCTAAATAGTCTGGTACAGGCTGAAGTGGGGAATTGAATTAACCATGAAATACTGGGCAGGTTGAGGCTTTTTCACTTAGGACACCGCAAGTTATGTTCCCTGTGAAGTCTCTGCTTGTAATCCTGATACTGATGACCTGCACAGCAAATGTGGACAAACAGTGGACAAACCAATGAGGAAATGGGAGAAAGGATCATCAGCTCACTGTTGTGTTGGTTGCTGCTCATGTTTGATGAGCAAATGGCTGCCTCTTTGCCCCTGTGGGAAATCATTAACATACAATAATTCTTATAGATTTCTATTTGACAAAAGTGGTGTTTAACTCACACTTTACAGAAGCCAAAAATGGGAGTCCTGTATGCTGACTTTTACCAGTAAGTTTCTTTTCCCTTTGGAAAGCCCCAGGGTAGATTGCTAAATTTCACAGGTAATTTGTAAACCCCTGAAATTGTTCTCTGCTGTTTTTTTTTTTTCCGTGACCTTTAGAAACCTGCTTCCCAGCCTGTCTCCTCCGTTGCCTGAATATCAGGGGTATAAGGAAATGTTTGCTGACTACAGCACGTCCAAATGTGAATTACAACAGAACTGTAAGGGTCTGGGTCCCAGGAACTCAGAAATCAAATGTGAGTTTAACTTTTAGTCCGTACAGAGTCCTACTGCTCTGGGGCCTTGACTCCTTAGGGAACAGTAAATAAGAAGGAGGCAGCTTTCTCCCTTTGCCCTAGAATTAACTTGCAGATTTAACTGACTTGTTTTATTATACTTGTTTATGTTAAACTGTCCTACTACAGGAATTACATAATTCATCCAGGAAATGAAATGGCTCCAATGACTAACTTGAGAGTCACATAAAAAACTTCAGATGAATACTGCCAAATTTCTAAGGTTTTATGATACTATTCCCTTAGATTGTTAAAATCAGAGCCAATTTGTTAAATATTTACTTAGTTAACCAACATGCTGTTCTAACTTCCTCTCTATATCCTTAAGTAATGAATGACAAAGCACAAAAAGTAGGCTACTCATCTAACTTATTTCACACTAGGAAGAACAGGGACTGATAGATATAACATACTGAATTGAATGGGTATTTATTTTCCCATAAAATTGCAAAATATAGCTAGTTTAGGAGACTGTTAGAGTTTAGAAGTTAAGGGTTCAGAAGACTTTATTGCTCCAAGATTTGGAGATTCTTATTACCATTTAGGTCATTATTATACTCTTTGCAACAAAAGACCCCCAAAAAAATTTCATAGAAAATATTTCAAAATAACCTCACAAACATGTAGCAGCAAGAATAATAACAACAATACCACACACATCCCTTTGTCACCCTGCAATAAGAATGGGCACTTCTCTTTTTCTGGAGTTAATCTCTTTCGGAAGAAGAGGGGAATAGCAGGATTTGGCTGCTGAACTCTTTCATTAGCTCTCCTTCCTTTGTGTGGGGTAGGAAGGACAGTGTATCAGAGCACTGCGAGATGTGGCTACAGGCATCCAAGGCAGCCTAGGTGCATTGATTGCCTCAGCACCTAAAAGTAAGACTGCCGAGCTTAAGAGACAAGTTTCCTTGCTACACAACAAGAAGAATAAAAAGTTCCTGGATTGTATTTTTAGAGATGTGAACGTGCCTAGCAAAGAAAGGTCTGAGGGTATACAGTGCAGAAGAGAGGTATAGATGAAAGGTGACACTGTGACTAGAACATAAAAAGTCAGGCAGTCATCCAGAAGGGATTGTGAATGTTGGAGTGCCAGAGTTCGTCCCTGGATGTGTGACTGATAGGTGATGAACACACAACTAGGGGGTGAAGCAAACAAACTTTGTCAAACAAACCACTCCCAAGCTATGAACAGAGAGGAAATGTGACTGAGACAAACACTATACTGGGTGTCTTCTTGAGGATAGTCTGCTTACTGATCCATGGTGCATGATTGGGTTTGGGTCCTCTCTCGCTTTCAGCTTTCCTTTACCATCCAAGTGATGTGCCAAAGAGATGTGACACTGGCAGGAGTGTCTCTGGAAGACCAGCAGAGCCAGGGACTCTGCACTGCACTGGCAAGGTCAACATTGCCAAGAACCCTGACTTAACTCCCTCCTCCAGCTGTGTCCTCTGCACGGATACCACACCTGTATTACAGAAAAAAAAGGAAAATCTAAAGACCGAAGATGTGTGTTCCTCACCAAACTTTTGAGAATGGACATAAGTGATATGACAGGTCAGAAGGTGAGATGAAAGGCTTTTTAATAGTACTGACTCTTGCTAACTTAAGACCAAAGTCCAGGCTGACAGAGTATGAAGTTTTTCTCCAGTCTCCAGTGCACCAGAAACTGAAGATGCTGTTTTCTCTTTGTCTGGTGTGCTGTATGTGTGGATTCTGGTGAGGGTATTGCATGGGGTTTTTAAGAAACAATTCTGGTCCTTCCTTTCATCTTAGGTTTCAGCTCATCAGGTTTGAGAAATCTGTATTAAAAAAAAAATAAAATATATTTTTTTCCCCTGAAGCCAAGGGGCAAAAATGGAGTATGTTATCTTCAGAGCAGGACAGTGATGGATTAGAAATCCAGCACAAACCAGTAGTCCTGTGAGCTGCAAATCTGATAGGGCTTTGTTTCCCTTGGGCAAATCTTTGGATTCTCCTAGGTCTACATAGCTGAAAGCTCTGGCTGCAGCTTTTCCTGTGGGTGGTATTCATAACATCTTTCATCGTTGCAGCTTTCTTGGTGTTTAATAAGGGTTTAACTCAAGCTGCAGTGGGTCTCCTTTTTCTTAGCAGCCTGTTCTTATGAAATGTATAGGAATGTAGCATTTTCAGCATTTTATTGCTCTGTCAGATGTGGTTAAAATTGGCTACTGTTTGTTCTTGTTCCCTTTCTCTTGCACAACACACAAGTATGTACAAGCACGTATGTGTGCACACATGCGGATGCACACAGAGATTCATTATACATATGAAGAGATAATGATCTCAAACCCCTTTTAATTTCTATAGGAATCCAGGCTAGGTAAGAAAGTATTGGAATGCTATTTCTTTGGGAGAGGAAAAGGAGGATGAACTAATTTTTTTCTATGCAGCAGACAGAATATTAAATTACTGCTTTGTTTAAATGTAACATGTGTTGCTGAAAATCTGGCACCACTACTATAAAGTAAAAGATGTAGTGGGCTCTGTGTCCTGGAACTGTATACTGGTGCTTGTGCACGGCACGCACGCTTCGCCTCCAGTGCCTGAGTGGTCCTGCTGAGACTGGAGGAATGTGTAGGGAATGTAGGTTTGCCGCGACATCCCGTCTCCATTACATCTTTTGGAGCTTTGCCACAGAAAAGAAGGCATTTTACCCTTCATTTGTAAGTAATTAAGATGATAGTGGAGTTAGAGTTTTCCAACTTTGTGAAAACAAACTAATAGAAATGATCCACTTCAATAACTCAGATATTAATTGAAACAAGAGAGAGAAACAATACATTAAGAAATAATTAACTTTCGTTAATTAATTTTTAGAAATAGGAAGGACACCTGCAGCAAGTGCAGATGTTTGCAAGTGTCATTAGATTGGGAAGGTTGTGCAGTAATTTGGAAATGGAAACAGGTCAAAAGGACCAGGAGCGATCTGCAGCATGGTCTGACTAATAGTATAAACTATGGGATTGCTAGTGAGCAGCAAAAAAGGTGATGAAGATGTGCATTTTTTAAAGGATATTTATAGAAGCCAGAGGTTAATTAGCAGTTAAAAAGCATCTACTGGTGTTTTATGTCAGTACCATCGGTGTGTTAATTATTGTCATTTTCAGCCTCAAATGTGCCTCTTTCAGACTTCAGATGAAATAGATTGATGATTCTTTTACTGAGGCATTTCTTAGATAAATTTTAATTAGTAACTTCCCCCTTTCCCCCTGTCAAATCAGTTTTCTTCTATGACCAGAACTGGAATTTCATCTCTCACTCAGCCTTCTCTTCTTTGGTATGTGTGATGCAGTTCTGGTTGTCTGTGGTATTGCAGGAAGGTAAGGGGAATGCGTCTGTTACCATAGTCTTGTCCAAATTTTAAATTTTGACTTCTCTGCAATGTAGACATGGAAAAATGTGAAATGATCCCTAGAACTATCCACCTTCTTTTTCGAAGTTGGTAAGTAGAAAGGCGCAAACCTAATTTGTTCTGCTCCTCTTAGTGCTTTTGTCTACTTTAATGAAATTATGCTGGTAGGAAAAACAACAAAGGTTTTATATGCCACTCTGAACATGCCAGAACTCTGTTCAACAACTAGAAATCCTCATAGGGTGAGCAGACCAGTCATCTTGGGGGCATCCAAGCCGGCCAGTTGAGATGACATGGGCTGAGTGCAGTCTCCTAGCACTGACTAAAACAAAATGCTGAGAACCACTATGAGGTCAGGTTGTTCCCTGCACCAGACGCCTCTCAGGGAAGGTTCTCCTGTCCAGCCCTCTTTTGCAAGTCACTACCCACAACTCCTCTTTCAAAGATTCAGTAAGGGATTTTTGTCTCCTAAGCAACAAAAAACACCCCTCACCTAAAGATACGTAAGAATTTAGAACCGCCATTCAGGTTTGGAATGTCCCTAAATGGACACTCACTTGACCCCTCACTGTCTATTCAGGCCTTTAGGCTGCTGGAACTGAGAAATGCCAGAGAGCACAGGATGTGGTTTGGACTACAGTCCCCCACTTCCTTCTTCTAGAGGGAGCCAGAGAGTCCTACTTGCTTTTGTTTTGGGAAGGAAAATTCAGACTAGATTCATAAAAATAAGTCATTTCATCCCTCCAGAAGTATTTCCTTTCAGAATTCGTAACTCCTATTAAGTTTTCAATTTTTCAGTAAACATATGTGCAAGTATATAATTTGCCAGGCTCTTTCATTTCAATGGCCTACTTTTCTATTGGTACTATTAAAAATAAAATGCCAAATTGTGAGAAAGACAGAATTACATTAGACAAGAAGTATACAAGACATGTTTTCCTTTCAGGTGACTTTATCTATGTATCTATTTATTTACTTCTACTCCATTTTTGCGATGGGCTCTGGAGAAAGATCCTTAGATGCTCTATTACTGATTCTGCAAGTCATCATTATGTGGCCTCTTCCTCTGAACAATTTTTCTAACCTTACCTAAAGGATCTATGATTTTTTCCCCCAATTATTTCTATAATTAAATTTTATCTGTTCTGATGACCTTGAAGGGTAGGAATTAAGTATAAACAAACAGGATAATGATGGGGCCCAAAGGCAGTAGTTTGAAAAAAGAGATGTATTTCTAATTTAAGGGAGGTAAAATGAAAGAAGTGTCTACAGTGATTAACCCACTAAATGGCAAGTTTTCAGATATATAGCCATCTGCTTTTTCCTGCCACCTCTCCCAAATGGGAGGGAGCTTAGATGAATTCATTTTATCTTCATAAGAAACAAATATTATTAATGAAATAAATTTTTACTTAGATGGACTACGCTGCCAGTTGAATAAAACCCACACATTTTACAGGGAAGATTTAATTAATATTCTCTTTATTTATTTTGTTACACAATTAAAAGGAAAAAAAAATTAATGGGGAAAAAAACCCCAACTTGTGCAAATACACTGAAATTTATTCCCTATCGTAGTCACATAGTTAAACACAAGAAAGAAAGAAAAAACAGCAGAAACAGTTTTCTCTAACATGTTATTAAAGACAAGAACCTGTTTACGAGTCAAATATTAGATGTCCTCAGGGAATTTGACAATTTGCAAAATATACAAGAAAATATCACCTGGGGAGAGTTACAGCTGTAACAAACGAGGAAGAATTTCTGACTAAAAAGGAACATGACTTACTTTGTCTCAATTGCTCCAAAAAATTCATGAATACAATGACTAGGCTAGAAACAATGTTGCAGAGGATTGTCCTCACACACTGGTGGATGTAGAGCTTGGACGGACTTTCTGTTGGCCTCATTCCTCAAAGATCTGTCATCTGTGTCGGTGAACAGTCACGGCCTTTAGGTTTGTGCACAGACTAGGTTGTTAGGCTCCGGCTACTTATTCACAGGTTCTTCCTCTTACTGTGGCTAGGCTGTGTGTCTGAGACCTCCAGCCAAGTGCAGGAAGTGTCTGGAGCTGGTATGTCCCTGCTGTGGCTGCTACACTGTCCATCAGTTTGCTAGGCCTGCCTTTATCCCATCAACAGTTTCCACTGGATGTGAGCCGACCAGTGGAATCAAATGTCTGCCCTGCTAACAGCTGGATCCAGATACCAGATTTCAAACTCTCTTTAACGGAATTGTTTCAAGCAGATACTAGTATTTTTATAATTGCTTCCCCATTTAAAACAGAAAAATTGCTCTTCTAAAATCCAATTTCACTATTAATAAATATTATTTGTCTTTTAGATGGTTACACTTGGATACCCTCATACTTGTGCAGCAGACTATACAAATATCTTGATATTTCACATGCTCCCAGGTACCGTTCGTGCTCCTTTAAGGCTTAAAATCCTGGGCTACTGACAGGCACTTTACAAAAACATAGCCAAAAGCAAATTCCTGTGTTGTCTAGCAAGCTTGATACATGGAATTAATCTACTTGCTGCTGTTGAAAGGAGTCTTAACTCTCCTCATCTGCTCCCACCCATGGACCACTGTTCCCCACTGTGTCTAGTTTGACTCAATTTAGCTCACAACAAGGGGAGCAGTATTTTTGCAGGGTTTATTTTCTTATGGTGATGTCTGTGAGCTATCAGGTTGGCTCAGCTTCTGGGCAAACCACACCTACTGCTCAAGCCTGCTCCCGCCTTGCAAAATTTGTGGTCTTGTAGCCACTCATGTCAGAACAGGGAGGTGCTTTCTGGGGGATGATGACACAATGCCAGTCAACACCTTTCTCTGACCGCTGCTGATTTTATACCGGGCAAAAGCTCATTTCTCTGTTTATTTCTACAGTCAAGTCATGCAACTATCTCCAACTACTGACTCACGAAAGCTCGCAACATCCTGTCAGTTCTTCCTGTGGCCCTCTGTAAAGATGTCCCAATATTTTTAAGCAAATGGACCCATACAGGATGCAGAAATTAAGAGTG